TACCAGGGAGGTTGGAGTCAGGAGCTAGGGAAAGGAATTTGGAGCAGGGTCTAAAAACAAAGGCTGCATTTTTCAATATTTAATCAGAGGATTGTTCATCCAGAGATAGTAGGAACTGCAGATGCTGGAGAACCTGACATAACAAGGTGTAGAGCTGGATGAACACAGCAGGCCAAGCGGCATTAGAGGAGCAGGAAGGCTGATGTTTCGGGCCTAGACCCTTCTTCAGAAATGGGGGAGAGGAAGGGGGTTCTGAAATAAATAGGGAGCGAGGGGGAGGCGGATAGAAGATGTGAGCAGGAACAGCAACTTATATTCCGCTTGGGAACCCTGCAGCGCAATGGTATCAATGTGGATTTCACAAGCTTCAAAATCTCCCCTCCCCCACCGCATCCCAAAACCAGCCCAGCTCGTTCCCGCCTCCCTAACCTTTCCTTCCTCCCACCTATCCCCTCCTCCAACCTCAACCCCCACCCCCATCTCCTACCTACTAACCTCATCCCACCCCCTTGACCTGTCCGTCCTCCCTGGACCTACCTATCTCCTCCCTACCTCCCCACCTACACTCACCTTTACTGACTCCGTCCCTGCCTCTTTGACCTGTCTGTCTCCTTTCCACCTACCTTCTCCTCTATCCATCTTCTTTCCGCCTCCCCCTCTCTCCCTATTTATTTCAGAACCCCCTTCCCCTCCCCCATTTCTGAAGAAGTGTCTAGGCCCGAAACGTCAGCCTTCCTGCTCCTCTGATGTTGCTTGGCCTGCTGTGTTCATCCAGCTCTACACCTTGTTATCTCAGATTGTTCATCCAGTACTGGATGTCAGATAAGCAGAGTGATAATTTATCAACTGCGGAGTCGTGAGAGGTTTTGGTAAGACAGATCTAGGTGTTATCAATATGATACTGTAAACCTCAGAACTTTAATAACTGTTCATGGATTGAGAGGATCAGCAATAATTTTTTTCTGGAATGATCTGTTAAGGGACAAGTAAAAGCTGTTATAAAGGAATTAAAAACAATATGCTAATTAACCATCCAGGAAGAAAGAGTCAAAGCAACATAAACAAGTTGTTTCCTGGGAAAGAGAAACTTACATTGCTTGATAACCTGCTGCCTCAAAACAAATGGGCAATTAAGACTGCATGCAGAAGGAATGCCCTGAGGTAAAGGGGTTAATTGAAGGAAAAATTGTTTTCAAACAGACAGTCAATGCTAAAATGTAACAATGAACAGGAAAGCTATTTAGTTAATAATTTTGATGAAAGATCTAAAGGATCATCAATAACGTTACACCACAAGCTTGAAAGAGAGAAAATTGTATAAAAATTCAACTCCAGGAGTCTTCAGCATCAGAATTTCGAAGAACAACACTAGACAGTATGGAACCCTGGACACATTCAGAGACAGACACTGTTGCTTGGAATTGTAGCTAAATACCACCGTTAATCAGGTCGTAGCTAAGTTGAGTTGTGAGGCTTAACTTGCTTACTTGAGGGGTTTTATTGTGGTTGTTATATGCAATAAAGTTTAAATCATTATTTCAGTATTTTATTGCCTGTGAGGTTTCTTCATTAGCAGCCAAATTAAAAGGAGTTTTTTAGGTAATTTACGCACATCAAAACACATGATAACTAAACTTATAAACAACTGTTTGTATCACACAGCTTGCTCATAATGGTTGTAACATTGATCTGACTCCCAACTGGCGACCTCTCATAACCTACAAAAACAGAAATTGCTGGAAAATCTCGGCAAGTCTGGCAGCACCTTGTGGAGAGAAAACAGAGTTAACGTTTCAGATCCAGTGACCCGTCTTCAGAAACTCATAATCTATTTTATTTCCTAATGGCATTGTCGGTGTACCTACACCAAATGGATGCATCAGTTTATGAAGGCAGCTCAACGCCACCTTCTTAAGGGCAACTGGGAACAGGCAATAAAAGCTGATCCCGCCAGCAAAGCCCACATCTCATTTTTTTAAAGAAATATTCCATTAAAGTTATTTGCTTCTGTTTAGGTAGCAAAGTCAAGAATCTGGAATTAGGATAATTTCAGCACCTTCAGCACATTTTCAGAGATCTGAGGATTGATGAAAATTGATCTATGGATTTTATAAACTTATTCAAAGGTTAAACCTGCAAAGGCAACTTACCACACAGTAAAGACTGACAGTGACCCTCAGGTAAATATAAGAAATGAAACAGGCTGTGGATGGATTTGATAACACTTTCCACTGAGTTAGGCAATATTCTTAGTCCTCCTGCCTCCAAAATATTTTACTTAAATGAAAACACCTTTTCAAATTTAACTGTCAGTGTCCTGACAGAATCTGAAGTAGGACAGGATCCCATGACTATCTTGATCATTGTTAACTGATTTCTCAACATGGTCCTTCAACATATTTTAAACATCTAATTGCATTTTAGGATGACAAATAAAGGGCTCCATGATATAAAAGTAGGACAAATTCCTGTGTCACATAACATTTTTCAACCTCGTATTTGCCAATTGTTCAACCAGCAGCCAAATGCTGACCACAAAATGAGATATAAAAGAATATTTTAAAAATTATGATCCATGAAATGCAAATGAATCTATAATATTTATGACAGTAGTTTTAAAAATTATTTTAGAAAACTTAAAATTTTAATTTGTGTGTTAATGGCAAAACTCATTAAAATAATTGTGTTGGAATATACAGTATGTTCCAATTTATTTAAAGGTCAGTCTTACACAAATGTCACACCTATACTCTGCATCCTAAACTTAATTGGACTGAAAGAAGATCAGTAGCATTTAGCAAATTAATTCAGATGATGACATTTCTCCCTATTCCTGAGTTGGAAGGTTGAAGCACCTCACCTCAACCCCAACATAAAATGGATCCACTATATGGTAACAGTGCAGTTGGGAGGATTTGCATCAAAATAATTACCATCTGACTGAGAATAGAACTATTACTGATAGATAAGCAAGCTGCAAAACAGATTCCTTACATTAAAAACCCTCACATTAAATATAAATATGAATACTGCAAACAATCGTACAATAAATCTATAACAAGGTTTGCATTTCTATTTTCTCAAAAATATTAAGCATCTTATATATCAACAGTCTCTTATCGCTGAGTTGGCTGGACAACTGGTTTGTAATACAGTGATGCCAACAGCATGGGTTTGATTCTTGCACTGAGGTTACCATGCCACAGTCTCCTTTTCAATCTCTCCCTTGGCCTGAATTAGCTGAACCACCACCAATTGTCTCACTCTAATGAGAGAGCTGCTGTATTATCCTTTATTTTTATAGCTTAACAGGGTGCAGCTTTTGCCATGGATTTAGAGAACAGATAACTCATCATGTTTAGTTCAGTACTCAAAGTGCATTAAAATAGATAAATTGCAGTTACTAATTGTTATAGTACTAAAAGTTCATTGTTCATTTGTATAACAAATATTACGAATTAATATCATGATGCACTTGACTATCCTTCACTGTACATTTAACGCTTGTTGCAGTCCCATGGTTACACTAAAATAATGTCTTGTTTAATATCTCTGAACATTTCAGTTGATAACTGCAAAGTCATTTTATGTTTTGCTAAGTGATTTAATATTTTATGAAGCTCAAAGAAAAATGCTTACCTTCCGTTGCAGTAAAAAATGTTTAATTCATCATACACCCTACAACAGAGAGGAACTGCTCAACTAGAGGAAGTTGAAAGTCTTTATCTTTACAGATCGCATCAAAGAGGAAATAACCAGTAACGTCAACTGATGTATGTTTTTGTTATGCAACAGCATAAGGAGAAAATAATGAATTTAGACGCAGATTTCAATGTTGGTATAATGGTAACAATAGATAGCAAATGCATGAAACAATACAGATATTTATAGAACATAGAACAGAGAACAGTACAGCACAGTACAGGGCCCACGATGTTGTGCCGAACTTTTACCCTAAACCTAAGGTCTATCTAACCTCCACCCCTACCTTATACTATCATCCATATGCCTATCTAATAGCTGCTTAAATGCCCCTAATGAGGCTGACTCCACTACCCTCTCTGGCAATGCATTCCACGCCCCTACCACTCTCTGAGTAAAGAACCTACCTCTGACGTCTCCCCTATATCTACCTCCACTCACTTTAAAACTATGCCCCCTTGTAATAACTACCTCCACCCTGGGAAAAAGTCTCTGGCTGTCCACTCTATCTATACCTCTGATCATTTTGTACACCTCTATCAAGTCACCTCTCATCCTTCGTCGTTCTAAAGAGAAAAGTCCTCGCTCTCTCAACTCTTTCCTTGTAAGACCTTCCCTCCATTCCAGGCAACATCCTGGTAAATCTCCCCTGCATCTTTTCCAATGCCTCCACATCTTTCTTGTAATGAGGCAACCAGAACTGGACACAATACTCCAGATGTGGCCGAACCAGACTTTTGTATAGCTGGAGCATAACTTCACGGCTCTTGAACTGGATCCCTCTATTAATGAAAGCTAACACACCCTACGCCTTCTTAACAACTCTATCCACCTGGGTGGCAGCTTTCAGGGAACTGTGAACATGAACCCCAAGATCCCTCTGCTCCTCCACATTGCCAAGAATCTTTCCGTTAACCCTGTATTCTGCTTTCAAGTTTGTCCTTCCAAAATTAAGCACCTCACATTTTTCAGGGTTAAACTCCATCTGCCACTTCTCAGCCCAGAGAGAGCTAAGAAGAGCCAGGAGGGGACATGAGAAGTCTTTAGCAGGTAGGATCAAGGAAAACCCTAAAGCTTTCTATAGGTATGTCAGGAATAAAAGAATGACTAGAGTAAGATTGGGGCCGGTCAAGGACAGTAGTGGGAAGTTGTGCGTGGAGTCCGAAGAGATAGGAGAGGTGCTAAATGAATATTTTTCGTCAGTATTCACACAGGAAAAAGACAATGTAGTCGAGGAGAATACTGAGATAGAGTCTATTAGACTAGAGGGGATTGAGGTTCATAAGGAGGAGGTGTTAGCAATTTTGGAAGGTGTGAAAATAGATAAGTCCCCTGGGCCGGATGGGATTTATCCTCGGATTCTCTGGGAAGTTAGAGAGGAGATTGCAGAGCCTTTGGCTTTGATCTTTATGTCGTCATTGTCTTCAGGAATAGTGCCAGAAGACTGGAAACTCGCAAATGTTGTCCCCTTGTTCAAGAAGGGGAGTAGAGACAACCCTGGTAATTATAGACCAGTGAGCCTTACTTCGGTTGTGGGTAAAGTGTTGGAAAGGATTATAAGAGATAGGATTTATAATCATCTAGAAAAGAATAATTTGATTAGGGATAGTCAACACGGTTTTGTGAAGGGTAGGTGGTGCCTCACAAACCTTATGGAGTTCTTCGAGAAGGTGACCAAACAGGTGGATGAGGGTAAAGTGGTTGATGTGGTGTATTTGGATTTCAGTAAAGCGTTTGATAAGGTTCCCCATGGTAGGCTATTGCAGAAAATACGGAGGCATGGGATTGAGGGTGATTTAGCGGTTTGGATCAGAAATTGGCTAGCTGTAAGAAGACAGAGGGTGGTGGTTGATGGGAAATGTTCATCCTGGAGTTCAGTTACTAGTGGTGTACCTCAGGGATCTGTTTTGGGGCCACTGCTGTTTGTCATTTTTATAAATGACCTGGATGAGGGCATAGAAGGATGGGTTAGTAAATTTGCGGATGACACCAAAGTCGGTGGAGTTGTGGATAGTGCGGAAGGATGTTGCAGGTTACAGAGGGACATAGATAAGCTGCAGAGCTGGGCTGAGAGGTGGCAAATGGAGTTTAATGCAGAAAAGTGTGAGGTGATTCACTTTGGAAGGAGTAACAGGAATACAGAGTACTGGGCTAATGGTAAGATTCTTGGTAGTGTGGATGAGCAGAAAGATCTCGGTGTCCATGTGCATCGATCACTGAAAGTTGCCACCCAGGTTGATAGTGTTGTTAAGAAGGCGTACAGTATGTTAGGTTTTATTGGTAGAGGGATTGAGTTTCGGAGCCGTGAGGTCATGTTGCAGCTGTACAAAACTCTGGTGCGGCCTCACTTGGAGTATTGCGTACAGTTCTGGTCACCGCATTATAGGAAGGATGTGGAAGCATTGGAAAGGGTGCAGAGGAGATTTACCAGGATGTTGCCTGGTATGGAGGGAAGGTCTTATGAGGAAAGGCTGAGGGTCTTGAGGCTGTTTTCATTAGAGAGAAGAAGGTTAAGAGGTGATTTGATAGAGACATACAAGATGATCAGAGGATTAGATAGGGTGGACAGTGGGAGCCTTTTTCCTCAGATGGTGATGGCTAGCACGAGGGGACATAGCTTTAAATTGAGGGGTGATAGATATAGGACAGATGTCAGAGGTAGGTTCTTCACTCAGAGAGTAGTAAGGGCGTGGAATGCCCTGCCTGCAAAAATAGTAGACTCGCCCACTTTAAGGGCATTTAAATGGTCATTGGATAAACATATGGATGATAATGGAATAGTTTAGGTTAGATGGGCTTCAGATTGGTTTCACAGGTCGGCGCAACATAGAGGGCCGAAGGGCCTGTACTGCGCTGTAATGTTCTATGTTCTATGTTCTATGCATCCTATCAATGTCCCTTTGTAACCTAGAACAGCCGTCCGCACTGTCCACTGTGCGTACCATCTGCAAAATTGCTAATCCACCCTTCCACTCCTTCATCCAAATCATTTACAAAAATCACAAGTAGAAGAGGACCCAGGACAGATCCTTGTGGTACACCACTCGTAACTGAGCACCATGTTGAATATTTTCCGTCCACTACCACCCTTTGTCTTCTAAGGGTCAGCCAATTCTGAATCCAGTCTGCCACATTTCCCCCTATCCCATGCCTCCTTACCTTCTGCATGAGCCAACCATGGGGAACCTTATCAAACGCCTTACTTAAATCCATGTATACCACATCCACTGCTCTACCTTCTTCCATGTGTTTGGTCACATCTTCAAAGAATTCAATAAGGTTTGTGAGGCATGATCTACCCCTCACAAATCCATGCTGACTATCACGAATCAAACTGTGCCTTTCCAAGTGATCATAAATCTTATCTCTCAGAGCCCTTTCCAATAATTTGCCCACCACTGATGTAAGACTAACTGGCCTGTAATTTCCGGGGTTATCCCTATTCCCTTTTTTGAACAAGGGAATGACGTTTGCCTCTCTCCAATCTTCCGGCACTATACCCGTGGACAGTGAGGACGAAAAGATCATTGCCAAAGGCCCTGCGATCTCTTCCCTTGCTTCCTATAGATTCCTTGGATAAATCCAGTCAGGCCTGGGGGACTTATCTATCTTCAACTTCCTCAAAATTCCTAGTACATCCTCCTTACTAACATCGACCTCCTCTAGCCTACCAGCCTGTTTCACACTGTCCTCCTCTACAACCAGGTCCCTCTCAGTTGTGAATACCAAAGAAAAGTATTCATTAAGGACCCCTCCTATCTCTTTAGGCTCCGTGCACAAATTCCCTTTACAATCCTTGATCGGCCCTACCCTTTCTCTGGTCATTCTCTTGTTCCTCACGTACATGTAAAAAGCCTTGCAGTTTTCCTTGATCCTATCTGCCAAGGTTTTCTCATGCCCCCTTATAGCTCTTCTAAGCTCTTTCTTCAGCTCCTTCCTGGATAACTTGTATCCCTCTAGAGCCTTTTCCGTTCCTTGTTTCCTAAACCTTACATAAGCATCCTTCTTCCTCTTAACCAGTCGTTCGACCTCTCTTGAGAACCCCTCACTCGACTGCATCTTCCCTGCCTGCTGGGAACAAACATATCGAGCACACGCAGTATGCATTCCTTAAACAATCGCCACATTTCAATAGTGCTCTTCCCTGACAGCATCTATTCCCATTTTATGTTACCCAGTTCTTGCCTAACAGAATTGTAATTACCCTTCCCCCAATTATAAACCTTACCCTGCTGTATGTACCTATCCTTTTCCATGAGTATTGTAAAAGTAACAGAGTTATGATTGCTACCGCCAAAATGCTCTCCTACCAACAGGTCTAACACTTGGCCCGATTCATTGCCAAGCACCAAATCCAAACTGGCCTCTCCTCGTGTTGGTCTATCTACATGCTGTGTCAGGAATCCTTCCTGAACGCACTGGACAAAATCTGCTCCATCTAAACTATTACAATTAAAAAGTTTCTAATCAATATTTGGAAAGTTGAAGTCACCCATGACTACAACCCTGTGACTTCTGCACCTTTCCAGTATCTGCCTCCCAATCTGCTCCTCCACTTCTCTGCAACTATTAGGAGGTCTGTAAAAACCCCCAACAAAGTGACTGCTTCTTTCTTGTTCTGGACCTCAACCCAAACTGACTCTGTAGACATATCATTCTCGAACTGCCTTTCAGTAGCTGCTATACTAGCCCTGACTAGCAATGCCACTCCCCTGCCACTTTTTTCACTCTCCTTATTTCTTTTAAAGCATCTAAATCCCGGAACTTCCAACAACCATTCCTCTCCCTGAGTTACCCAAGTCTCTGTAATGGCCACAATATCGTAATTCCAAGTACCCACCCATGCTCTAAGTTCATCCGCCTTATTTCTGATATTTCTAGCAGTGAAGTATACACACCTCGAACCATCCCTGTGTCCACAATTATGCTCCATCGACCGCATTTCTTTATGAACAACCTCACTCCCTGTTGTGTCTGTTGGAAGGCCGAATAC